TCCCTCCCTGGTGCAGCAGGACCCTGAAATCTGTCACTCCCCTCTTCTGACTCCTTACTCTCCTCCCTGACTCTTAAAGTGATAGTTTGCCGTTCCTACAGTCCTCATTACAGCACCGCTACATCCAGGGAACCATAAGGAAGTCAGAGGACCAAATTCTGCTCAGATATAACCCGACAGTAACTGCAGTAAAGTGCCTCACCAATCCCTCAGGTTTCCACAGGCCCTAAAAAAACCTCAAGCAACACTAACTGAAAGTGGTGAGTAAACAAGTATTGTAAGCCATTGATCTTAGGTGCTTTATATAAAGCAAGGAAAGTGGGAGATACATACTCTTTTTTAAGCTTTTGGATTGAGGATGGGGTTGAAATCCTCCTGCTGGAAAACCATAGGTGCTCATGCGCTGCACAAGGCTTGCTACATTTCCATGTCTCTCCCTCTTGATTGGCAAATCATCCTCCTTAGGTTCTGGATCCTTCTTAACTTCCTAGTAGAAAAAAGGCAGAACAGATTTACAAAACGGAGGAATAATTTAAGTTATGAAAAAATCATAGGGTTCTTTGAGACATTCCATATTCTGTAGACTCAAGTACCCTTTGCTCCATAGTGTAAAGGGCTTGTATCTGAAAAAAACATTAGCCAGTTATATAACATGTGTCATTCAAGTACTAACACGAATCCACTCTACCCTCTTCTAAATTAGCTGTTAAATCAAATTTCCAGATAGGTAAACTGAGGTATCCCCAGTATCTAGTAGCAGGAAAATAGATGTTCTGAATTCTCCTATCTCTATACACAAACAGCTGCAAGCACTGAAATCTGGGGAAATCAACATAAAAGCTGCATTACAACACATTTATGCTTCCACAGAGGTCAGTGTTTCAAAGCAAAGTGTGAAGCAGAACATTTTTAGAATATTTTCCATATCAACTACTCTCATCATTTATATTACAGCAGTTCCTACAGACTTCAACCAGAGACTCATTTTATATACCATGCAGTGAGAGAGCTTGTTCTTGCCCCACAGAACTTCCAGTCTTAGTTTATGTCAAGATGCAATAATGTATACATTAAATAGGAGGAAACAGAAGATAAGCTAACACTTCATCAGAAGAGCTTGAGTGGAAATTACAGAATCGGGGGTATACATAAAGGCAAAAGAAATTACCTGTCAATTGGAGAAACAATGTTAATGAAGCTAATTAAGTAAGGGTGGATGAGTCTTATTCAAAGCACGTCAAATGGAGATGTGAATATCAAAGGCAGGGAAATTGCCTTTGTAGTGCTTTAGCCAGTTAAGATCTTTATTCAAACCTAAGTACAGTAAAACTCTACTGGTCCAGCATCCAATGCTCCGGCACTCCTGATGGTCCAGGTTCCCGATGGTGCCGGAAGTGCTCCAGGCAGCGGACAACGAAGGCAAACCCTTGTGCTCGTCTGGAGCTCCATTAAAGTCAGGGGGGGGCTCCACAGAGATGTAAAAGTCAGCCTACACAAGCACAGTTTGCAGAATCAGAATCTATGGCTTTTAAAGCTATCAAGTTTATATCATTCTACAGTAAACTTCCGATAATCCGGCACCTTTGGGGCCCAGGGGGTGCTGGATTATCAGATATGCCGGACTATCGGAAGGGGAGGGCTATGAGGGGTCTGGGGTGTCATCCCCCCACCCCACCTCAGACCCCTCATAGCCTCCCCTTCCGATAGTCCGCCATAGCTGATAATCCGGCACCCCCTGGGTCCTAAAGCTGCCGGATTATCGGAAGTTTACTGTAGATAGAATTCAACTTATAAATAAACTCCAGAATATGGATGTTAAAAATTCTGTATTAGGGTAACTATGTAACCCTGAAAATCAGGTACTGTCCTATCACAGGACATTCCTCCTCATATCTTCTTAGGAGGCATTTTTTCCACTTACTTTCTGCTGTAAATTGTGGACCTGACACAAGAGAGAAATATTATACGGGTGAGGGAAATTGTCCCAATCTCTGTTTATACACTGAATATAAAGCTGCTTTATTTCAGGAAGGGGATCCACTTTTACTGTCTATCTGTGTGAGGCCCAGACAGTACTGCTACGTCACACTGAGTGCACTATTACATCCCTACTTTGATCATAATACAAGGTTCTAACTCACGTAAGGTTTGCCCTCAGAAAGTGCATGGTACCCACTGCCCCTTTACTATTAGCAAAATAGTTCACTTCTTCAGTTAGTTTTGCGCCTAAGGCTCATGATGCTGAATGGATTACACCAGTGGTTTTCAGTCTTCCATTTAGATCAACCCCTCCCCCCTAAAAATTTTGACGGAAGGTGCAGACTTCTTGGAAATCAGACATAGTCTGCAGTCTCACAAATGTCTACAGAACACAGATTACAAGCCACTGAAATACAGTAGGTGCAGAGAGAGAGAGAGAGAGAGAGACAAAGAGACAAAGAGGGCTGAAAGGAAGCTTTACTCAGAACAAGTGTGTGGCTCTGGGGATGTGGTTCTCAATCTGCAGACCACAGACCACCGGCTGCCCAGTGAGAACACAGCTGCAGCACATGTAACATCCTCAGGGTCATACAGTAGAGTATGTGTGTGTATGTATATATGTGGCCCACATACAACACAGAGAGTTCCAAATGTGGTTCACAATGATAAATAGGTTGAGAACCATAGGTAACTTCTTTTGCTTTTATACATAGCCCCAGATTGTCATTTCTACTCCAACTCATCTGATGAAGTAGGTTTTACCAACAAAAGCTCACTACATTATTATTGCGGCGAGGAGTCCTGTGGCACCTTATAGACTAACAGAAGTGTTGGAGCATAAGCTTTTATGGGCAAAGACCCACTTCGTCAGATGAATGAGTAGAAATTTCCAGAGGCAGGTATAAATACGCAGGCCAGAATAATACAGCAACCCCTCTGATACTTTATTATTCTTGTTTAAATATGCTTTACTATGGTTTTCTTTAAATAAAAAAAGCAATTAGACATGAATTGCATGTTCATATCAAGTGTTATTTTTAAGTTATATTTCTAAAAAAAAAAAAAAAAACACTACACAAATTCAGTCCGGATATAGTCAGTGAAAGGCCTGATTCTAATTACATTTCCTTCTTTCTAACAAATCTAGGAAGTGGAGAGGGAGTCTCACAGTGGAGCAGGACCCCTTCCCCTCACTTAGACTAGGGCATGCCTCCTCCAGGCAAAGGTTATCCGAGGGTAGGTGGGAATCTCCCCTGCCTTCTGACCAGGGCATCCCTACCACAGGCCATGCTCTGGCCATCGAGGGGAAAGGGGGTCTGTTGCAAGCAACGGCCAGGGAGAACCAAATTCTTGGGAGGGGCTCACCTTTGGTGACTCCCTGAAAAAGCTCCCTGCTACTACTGCCAAAGAGATGAGGCTACAGCCTCACATCAGGCACAGTTGCCTCTGTCTGCAGACACCACTGGCCATGGTTCCCAATCCCGGCCAATGGGCTGGTTGGAAGTCATGGATTCAGCTGCCAGTGAGGGGGGAGAAAGGCAGATATGGAGCCACCACCACAGACCTCAACATTTTATCATAGACACAAGCCAACCCATGCTACAGACTACCTATTGGCATAAAAAGTCTTAAGAATGGGAGTGACTCCCATTCCCTTCCTCTGCAAGCTATGGGTTTGGCCATCACTAATTTTTATAAACAATATAAAAATTTTCCTTAGTCAAATATATTAACAATATCTCTGTAACACGCTCCATGATTTATATACACACATTTCTGTTCATACACACACAACAGACACAGTATACAGTTAATAGCTGTCAATTCCTCTTCCAACTATCAACAACTTAACTACAATTCCATGCAATAAAAACAAAAAGCTCAATCATGAAAACAGAACCAGGCCCAACAAAATTTGAAAGACGAACTGAGATTTTTTTTGGTATTTTACACAAAGAACATTCTAATGAGATGTCTAAGTAGTCCACTTTAAACAGTATCCAATGAAAAGCAGATCGATATTTAAAATTGATAAAGTTGTCAGGCAGCTTAAAATATTCTCTTAAGCAGGAAGTGCAGGTGAATGACACTACACATTCAATAACTAATTCCTGTTTGTCACATGTTTTAGTGGCTCTTTCCCCATTAAAATAATAGCAATAGTATTGCATTGATGAGCAAACTTAACTGACTGGTTTATAATCTTATTGGCTGCAGAGCCGAAAATGGGGGGAGAGGGGCATTAGTATTAAATCTGTTTCTCAGAGCAAATTTCTCTATTTGTACACAAATATAAATCCAGAAAGCAATAGATCCTCTTGTTTTCTATGCAAGTTTCCACCTTCACATTTCAGTCTGCAAAATTCTTTATTCAAAACTTGAGTAAAATGTAACTATAGAAAAATGTATTAGAGTCAGCAGAAACTCCTTCTAAAGAGGAACATTTATTTCCTGGAAATACAAAAATAACTGTACATGGAATGCTCCAAGTTTGTACTAAAAATGCTAGAAATAATGTGACAACTGTGTTTGGGTAACATTAGAAGAGTTACATATTTGAATTTATTATACAAGGCAGGGTATTCATTTATTCTCATTTTTTAAGCTGTAACTATAGATGTGTATCCTGTGAGTTGTAATTCATGGTATATGTGCCTAACTACAAAATAAGCAAAACACTGCCCATAAATATACCCACATCATCTCCTTACTCAATGTCCTTAGAGAAGATTAAAGTAACTGGGTCCTAAATTTTAGCAAGGCTCATTTAAGATGTTTCTTTCCCCATCAAAGCCTTTTATTGCAGTATTCATGGGGTGGGTCTGCTTCCTAGGATCTGTGCATCCCAGACCGCACTGCACAAAACAGGTCTTGTTGGAAGATGTTACCTACTAAGGATGTTAAAAGGCGAGTAATTTACTCATCGTGTAATAGATAAAATGTTAATCAAGTACATAATGAGTTGATAAGGGAAGGATTGCTCAGTCCCAGGTGACCTGGGACCAGTGTGTCTGCAGTTTGAATGTAGTAAGAGCAAGGCTGCCTGCATGCCTGGCTCCTACTACATTTAAAAATGAAGAAGCGTAACAGTGGGTATCTCCTGGATCTAGCAGGAGCTGGGCTTGCTCAGTCACAGCTCGCATTGGATCCAGCAGCCCCTGTCCATGGGGTGTCCTAGCAGGGAGACCAGCTCCCACCTGTTGCCCCTGCCTGAAGGGAAACTGAGCTCCTCACAGAGGCTTTGCTGGCAGCCCACTGTAACTGATACATAGGCAGCAGCACAGGTTAGCAGGGGGCTCCCCGGGAGTGGGGCCAAGAGCTGGAAGCGCATTGGCTGCTTGCCCCGCCTCCAGGGACTACTGAATAATTGTGTAACTGCTAAAATTTGATGCAGTTACATGATTATTAAATTAATCACTATCTAACATCCCTACTTGGAACCAGGACTCCCAAAGTAGTTGGCTCCACTGGTGCCAAAAATGTTGGTGATTTTTGAAGGCAAGATCA